GTGAGTGAATAATTTAAGACTGCATGGTATTGGTTGATATGCCAAGTTGTTTTGGACATTGCAGCGGAGATTGTACTAAGACTCATGAGTACTTAAAATAGAAATTTAAGTATTAAAACAACGTGCACTTAGAGATTACATCTTGGATCTAGTCATAAGATATTCTAAGATGACAATATTTTTTATTCTTTAAACAAAGATGTGTATGGGGTTTTGTTTGAAAATTTTGATGTGCATTAGTATGCTCTAACGTTATCCGTAACTGGTAGTCATAAATGGTACGTTCATGTATGATTAGACGAGCTAACAAAAACCATGCAGTCAAAGTTTATTTATTCCTTCTCGTAACTGGGAAGCGATATCTATGGGCCCCTCCATGATTTGGTGCTTACATGTGAAGTGCTTAGCCGAGCCCTGCCTAAATTGATATGTTCGATTTAGAAGTCAGATGTGATCGTCAGAAATCTTTAATCGGGAAACAGAATGTTGAATAATGAGATTGAACCTTATCCATGTCTCGTGTTCATAGAGATATCTAAAACGAAGGAATAATTGATCACTTGTCTTAAGGACGAAATTTTGGTTTCTAATAAGAGTAAGGCAGTTGCATTGGATGACTACTCTCTGTTGATTTCTAATGAAATATTTTGATCCTAAAAGTTAACGACTTATCGAAGTGGGAGGCTGTTAGAAATAGTGTCCACGGTCATTAACTATTTTGGTAATACTTCTAATAATAACAAGGTCCATTTGGGTTGGCCTAATGACCCAAATAGCAATAAGGAAATGGAGATAAGTAAGTTATTAAGGAATTAAGGAATTACTAAATTAATTGGAAATTATTTTGGAATTTGTTAGGTCTTAGAGTCTATATGTGATGTGTCTGAGTCTGATTGCGAAAGCTTTCACAATTGTTATATCTTAAGTCTCTAGTGTATTGTAATGATTGTATGTTTTGTTTCGGAGTTTTGTAAACACTATGTTTCGTAGTGACTAGTGCATATTGTTTAATAGTCTGTCACAGCCTAGGTGATGTAACCTAATTGGCTATTCTTTAACTGACTCCTTGTTTTCTCAACCCATATATAGGGATGTTAGTTAGAAAGTAGAGTAAGCCTTTTGCGAGTTGTCACACTTAATAGTTGTAATTAAATGATATTACTCTTAAATCAAATCAGAATCTTATTTACTCTCTTGTGCAATCATTTCTTTCATTCAAACATGATTTTGTATATTTTGTATCGGTGAATCGATCCTACATAATTAATTTAACAGATTTAATTAATTAAAGAGCTTAAATATTAATTAATTCCTAGATATCAACTTGAAATATTCCATAACCTTCTAGAGCATAGGGGTGGATGGTTTTGGCTAACCCCTAATAGGGTTAAGGCAAGTTTGAATCACATAAGAATTAAGCTTAAGAGTTTGAATCCTTCTAGGATTCTATCTGCAACCATAAAGAGACTGTTAGGGGTAAACCCTAGAGTTGTTGATTCCTCTCAGAAAATCGTCCAACCTCTCTCTCTCTCTCTCTCTCTCTCTCTCTCCATACCCGAAATTTCTAACCTCTCTCATAGGGTTAGTGAATTTCGAATAAACCTTAACCTAGGGTTTTGCCTTCTTTCTCTTAGGTGTTTGTGGGTCTGACTATATTAGAGGAGTTCTATTTTGGATCATGCATCTATTGCAATCATTAACACGTACGCGGTCCCAATCGAGCAATCAAGAGGTTAGTATGTTTCTTTTAAGTTGGTTTTTAAAGTTCGTTGCTATAGCTAGTAAAACCTAGATCTAGGGTGCATATATACTTAGGTATATCTTTTGATTGTTTCCTCTACCTTTAAATAGTGTGTTGATGGTAATAAAACCCAACATAATCCCGCCGGAGAAGAAGGGCGCGACACGTTATTTGAATCATCGAAATCGTCGGAGATATGTTTGAGTAGCTTAACTTTTCAATATTTTTAAATATTAACTTTAAAAATAATTTTTTAAATTAAAAATAATTAAAACTATATTTTTATGTGCATTTTATCCAAATTTATATTCTTTTTGAAATAACCATTAATTTGGAGACTTTAAACTTGAATAAAGAAAAGGTCATGGCATTAATGGTGGAGCCTATGAAGGTGACTCCTCACGAATCTCTTCATCTATGTGATGCGAACATCTAACAACCAATTTAACCCCTTTGTAATGTATCCACATATCCACACAAACAAGAACCTGTTTCTCTTTATTCAAAGCCTATAGTTCTTGGTAGTTAGATTCTCAAATTCCATGCCGCATAATTATTTGGAATTATGCATTCTTAAGACAATAAGGATTCCCATTTTTCATAGCTTTTGAGGTTGTTACCATCTATTGGAAGAACAAAAGTGATATACCCACTCTCTCGAACGGCATCAAGGTCCCGCATGTCACTATTGATAGTTATGATTATTTTATTCATTTCCTTTGTTTTCTTGTCAAACGTGTTAATGAGTCAAGTCATCCTCTTTTCAAGGAGAACGGAACCACACATGTGGTATGGGTTACCACAACGCCGTTAAGGCTGATGTGGCAGCCCATAACAGCGTGGTAACATCAAAAACACCACCCCTTTTCTTGTTGCATATTGTTGTGTTGCTTCTTGTTGTCTCAATGACAAGAAGAAACGAGATCGTCTATTGGCTGTCAAATTATCTCTCTTTATCTCTCTCCTCTTAAATGGTGTTATAACACCATGAACATCACCCCATCTTCTTGTTGCTTTTTGTTATAACACCACCAAAACGGACTCATACCTAATAGTCTAAACGTTATATGTTGTTTTTGGTAATATATGTAATACGTAACTCTTTCATTTGGCCTTCATAGATAAAAAAGTATAGCAAATACTTTAAGAAACAAATTCACATATTTGATCATGACTTTTAAAAATAAGCTTATCACACGTTTTCCAAAAAATTTGCCTACAGTTCACAGTTGTCTAAGGCAATCAAGAAAAAGTAACACACATGTTATAGAAAAAATAAGATAATTTCTAAAATGCTCACATTCGTCAAAAAATAATTATAGTATTTTTCTACTTTTTGACAAGAATAATTTTTTATGCTTAATTAACCAAATAAGCATAACGATATACCATCAAAATTCTTGAGTATTTAATTCTATATATACATAGTCACACAAAGGAAAATTTCTAACACATAAACATATACATATATATCAAGTATGTTTTCACAAAAATATATTAATTCTATTACAACCACAAAAAGTCATACAAATTACCATTCAAGTAACAAATTTAAAGCACATGTGAAAATTGAACAAAAAATCAAATACGTCATATATGCAAATATCAATACACAAAGTGTTAAGTAATTATCCAACAAATAATTTCTATAACCAATAAAAAATTCACATATTCAACAAATATCAATATCTAAACATAGATAATTATAGTGTAAATATCAGATAATTAAATACATTATCATGAAATTTGATTGTCAAAAATAAACGCAGTGTTTTTAGCACATAATCATTTTAGCAATTAATCAACACAAGATTTAACAAAATATTTTAAGCAATATTTACCTAATGTTCATTATAGGGTCCTAAAAACATGTCATTATAGGACCTTAAAAACAGTCACAAGGCATTTAATCAGTATTGACAGAATTTTGGTACACTTTTAACAAACAAAGTCTACAGTTATAGCAAGCTTAATATATAGATTACAACAAATTAATGATAATTCTATATACATCCCCTTCATTACTAACTAGAAAGGTTACCCCCGCTACGCGGGGGCCAGAAGCTTTCAATGTTGTTTCCGAATTGATAAATATGACAGACATAGAAAGTGCAAGGATGAAAAGTCCGGGCTTTGCCCCGGACAGAAAATGTAAAAGTTTACTTTAAATATTAAAAGGTTCCAAAAAAGTGTAAAAATATTGATTGTAAGGACCAAAAGTGTCAAAATGGGTAAAGAATAATGAGCAAAGTTGCCAAAAAACATCCAAATTTAGTATTCCTAACTTCCAACAATAATACAGGGACCAATTCTGCCAAAAAAATGGCAAGTTGAATAGAACACAAACAAAAGGACATGAATAAATTAATTAAAGAAGTATAGGGACCGGATATGTAAATCAAGGGACCAAACCTGGACAAAGTATGCCAACTTCACTATTCCTTTCTTCCACAACTTTAATATATATAGTAGGTGGGGAACCACCGCGTTGCGGGGGTCGGATGTGACAATTTTTTCCGTTGTTTGTTCTTTGTAAATGTTATTTGATCAACTATTTGTTTATAGTTTGAGTATTGTTATGGGCTTAGTAATATTGTTTCGTCATGGATATTTTTTTGTTGTCGAATAAGCTATTTATCGAAATATATACTTCATGAGTTTATCCTTTGGTTGATGAGATGGAACTACAGAGCCACTGATTTTGAATACAGCTCTTCGCCATCTTGGAACTGCGATTGATTTTGGCTCTATGTTAGTGTTTGCCACTGATTTTGAATACAGCTCTTCGCCATCTTGGAACTGCGATTGATTTTGGCTCTATGTTAGTGCTTTCGTAACCATTCGGGCTAAAAGATGCAGTTGTATATATGTAGGAAAAGAAAGATTTGATGTTTTTCTCTAAAATTGCAAACTGTTAGCTGCAATGAGAATTTAAGAAAGAACGGAAAAATATTGAGCGGGAAAAATATATTTTTTTATTGACTTAGTATTATTTGTTTACTAAAATATTTGAATTTATTAATCATGAATAACTAAACAACTGAATTTATTTTCTAATGCTTAAATGAATCGAATTCAAATCGACCTATTTTAATTTTGAATCATTTATGGTGAAATAGAGAAAAGCACTTGTAGAATCGAAGGCCCCAAATCAATAACAGCCACTAATTCGATTTGGGGTCTTTGACAGAACTGAGAGAAAAAATATTGGACATTTGACAGAAATAAACATAAACTATATTAGTTTTCCCTTGTCTATTTTAGTAAACACAAAAGTATTAAACCCCACTAACCATTACAAAATTTGCATCATAAGGAACAAATTTTAATAAATCATCCAGTAGTCTATTTTAGTAAAAATGATATTATTTGAACAACTGTAAACAAACTGCTAAGGGTTCCAAAAATAAAAATGATATTATTTGAACAACTGCAAAGAAACTGCTAAGGGTTCCATCGCAGGTGTCATGGTGTTCTTCTCCACCGAGAAAAAGATAGACCAATGACTCATCACAAATTATTCATAAAAGATAGAGAGCCATGGAGCAGGGTAAGCTGCATATTCTCAAGAGTGTGGTTTTGTTCACTTATCAGCCATGAGTAGTTGTGGTGCATGAGGAGCTCCCTACAAAATTATAATTCCCGTCATGACCCCTGATACAACTGTTGATACAACAGACAGTAAAACTTAGTTATTGCTGAAATTACCTTGATGACATTGTTGTTGATGTCGACTATTCATTTCTCGATTTCTGCTATTTCTTGTTTAATGGAGATCAACGCATCATAAAAGTTGTCCAAGTCAACCTACACGTAAGGTATTCGACATGTTATGTTATATGAAATGGTAAGAAACAAAAAATCATTAGAAAGAAATGGACACATAAATCTATGTATGTACTGTGCGAGACAATTTTAGCATTTTTGAAATTCTCAGATACATCCTCCAGGTAATCTACAAAAAAAGGTTTTCAACCAAAAATTTGTTGTATAAATAATAAAAGCAAGACGTCATAAGTACTTCTAAAAAAAGGTCAGCAATAGAACATCGTACATACTCGACATATGGTTAATTCTTAGAATAAGAGTTTTCTTACCCAACACACATCAAGCCTGAGGTAGAACTATTGCAACGAAATCCAAATCGCCATTTTTTTCCTAATATGTTCATTAATTCATTAACTGTATGCTCCTTAATTGATTTATTATAAATGTTTAAAAGATCAAATTTTTTACCTGGCTGAGATTGCCATTGAATCAGGTAAAACTGTCACTGTGTGCAAAGCTATAAAGAATTTGTTTAAAGAAAGATGTAACCCACAACCTTCCCATGTATTCAGTTCTTGTTCCACTTCCTGCACCACACAAAGAAAAAACAACAAACAAATACAAAAGTAAATTTTCTAATAGTGACTGAACATCAAAATCTCCACCAAGATATCTGTTTATGTTTATCCCAAAAAAATAAAAAATATTATTAAAATTGATGCATATTTGTGAATAAGGATCGTAAGGGTAAAATGGTCACCTTACCGGAACTTGTTAATGGGAAAAAAAATAACCCGAAATTTACCCGGCAGTAGCTGCGATGCGTTCTTGAACAGATGCGTTTGGTGGAAGCTTTGATTTGTACACAGGAAATGTCAAAACTACCCCTAGATGATTAGAACCCAGAAGCTTGAAAGGGCTTGTGAGCACGGATTTCCCAGTTGGTCTAGCCCTCAATATGTTCTCTTTGTCCTCCTATCATCAAATTCGACTTTCTTAAATTTAACTTCGAAGGGTATATATTTTATATTTTTATACCCATATAACAAACATTTATGAAATATAATTATTAAAATAAGTATAAAAAACATACCTCGCCAGACATCATATCTACCAATTTAAGATAGGAAACAGTTTCTTGAGCGAAAATTACAGGGGCATATTCGTCACGAAATGGCGAGGGCTCTTTCGTCATTGTTCTTATGGTCCCATCATGTTGTCTCTAGAGGTCTTCTCTCTCGTAATTCATTACCCTTTGTGCATATGCAACTCCACTCAACAAAGGTCGCTCGAATGCTGTTCTTGCTGTGTATTCTGCAAATGTTTGCTGGATTTGAAAAAAAAAAAAACAAATTCAATCACAAAAAGAAGAAAAAAGATAAACAAACACACATTAATAATGTTGAAACCTGATCGATTACTGATGGGTTCGTGTAATAATGAAAAGTCGACACCAGAACACCCAGAACATACTCACTAAACCCTCTTCGATTCTCTCTTGATGCCCTGCATCTATGCATTTATAAACATAAATGGCGACAAATCCAAAAGAAATGATCCATAACGCTAAGTAAAAACATCAAAAACAGAACTTTGATACTAAATTAACAGTAACTTACAGAGACCATATTCACAATCAAAGATATAGAATTTTCAAGTGTTGCTTTGAATTTTAATTTTTAGAATTAAATATATATAAAAAAAGGTGATGTATTTGTGAACTTCTTTATCGCCTCTTCTTTTAATCATTTCCCAAGTTAATCCCTCTTTGGATTCAAGGCCAGCTTGCGAAATTTCTAAACGGTGTTGAGTTAGCAAATACCTTAGCTTCTTCTTTAAACCCTGAAATTTTCAACACCTTTTAATAATGAACAAAACTTAATAGCTAAACTAAAAGATATAATAATTAATAAATATATCATACACCTCTAAGGGTGCACCCCATAATTTTCTCAAATAATAATCAGTCTCTGTAACAACAATAGCTGGAGGCAACTGTTCTGCTCCTTGAGGATTTGTTGGAACATATATCTGAAAGCAAAAAAGTAATTTATTCGATTAGGTCAACACCTATGTTGCACAGGGCAGGTTTGCTGGCGGTGGTGTTTGTGACAGGCCGGAGGTGGAAGCTTGAAGCCGAGAAGAAAAAAGAGAGAAGAAGAGGGTACATCGTGTCTTCTCTTTCGGTGATTAAGGGCTCACCGGCAATGGCATGAGATAGAAATGCCGGCGGTATCGTTGCTGCATCTCTATCCTTCTCTGTTATTGAAACGAAAGAGAAACACATCCGAATATTAGTGGACGAGAAAGCGGGTAGGGGGAATGAAGCAGAAAAATAAAAGAATCGAGAACCTCAATGGAAGATATTGGATAAGGACGCGGTGGGAAGGATCGGAAGTTATATAAACCCAAACGATGATCGACACACAAACAAAAATAGAGGTATCGAAAATGTAATTTAAGGGACTAAAATTGGACAATATTTATTGTTAAAACTTTTCACAACTTTAATATATATATAATAATTATACCCCTTTAACTTTTTTTGTTTTGTTTTTTTCTTTTAATCTATTATGTCTTTTTATTGTTTATTATTATTATTATTATTTAAAAAATATTATAAATAACAATAATTTAAATATAATAATAAAGCAAAGTTTGTTTTTATTTAACACTAGATATACTGATATTTGATTAACGTTGTGTTATTTTTTTCATTCCAATTATTCATATGTTATTTTTCGTTCGGATTATACTTTTGTTATTTTTTTCATCTGGACTATCATTGTATTATTATTTTTTTTGGTCAGATTATCCTTATGTTGTTTTTGGCGTTCAGACTATTTATATACAACGATAGTAAGAAAGAAGAAATAAGAATTAATATTCATAATAATTCGTTTTTTACTTATTCGAATGTTTGTCAATTATTCGAACGTCTGTCAGTTATTCCGATGACTTTATAAATTCGATCGACTGTATAAATTTGAACCGCTCTTTGTACAACAGAAAAAGATATTATAGAAATTTTTTTAATAATAATAATAAATTAATAAAAAAAGACAACAAAATGAAAAAAAAATCAAAATCCGAGTATAATTAGTATTAGAAAGTATATATAACAACGCCCCAAATTTAATGTTCTACGCACATAATGTATGACTTATATAACATGTCACATATTCAAGAAGACAAATTAGTTATAAAATTCATAAAAGTTTGTATTTTTTAAGACAACAAGGCTTATGAACTAGGGATGTTATTCGGGTCGGAACCGGACTGAACTACACCCTAACCCAAATAACCCGAAAACCAAATAAGGGTAGTTGAATGAACGAAAACCGGACCGATTAACCAATACGGGTTCGGTTTTGTATGTAACGGTCGGAATCCAGGTATTTACCTTTCTTTCCATTAGAATGAAATTTTAGTGCATGATTGGTCCCTTCGTATGCTGGGCGTACTTAGGGGTACGCTTAGCGTACTGGGGAGGGTTGATAACGGAGGTGTACCACGTACGCAGGGCGTACCAAGGGGTATGCGGGGCGTAAATGGCTGAAGACCAAAACCCTAATATTCAGATTTGTGACCTATATAAACGTCCTTAAGTCATTTGGACCTTATCCTAACCAGCCTCCATCACTTCCAAACGTCCCTAAATCCCTAAAATCCTTTTTTTGTGTATGTGTGTGTGTGTGTCTTGAGCTTGTGAGTGCCTCAAACATCTCAATGATATGGTGGAGAAGGCCCGAGAACGGAAAATTGAGTTGGAGCTTCGAACGAAGCGGAAGCGGGAGCAGGTTCAGGCAGCAGTGGTTCTGGCTAAGAAGCCTAAGACCTCCGATCCTCCCAGCAGGGGTCAGCAGGGCCATGACCGATGTGCCATGTACGACAAACCGCACAGTGGAGCCTGTCGGGTGGCAGGCTCGGCATGTTATGCTTGTCGCCAGCCGGGCCACATGAGCAGGGATTTCCCCAAGAAGTTTGTTTTCACTGCAACCAGACCAACCATAAAAAGGCCGATTGTCCAAGGTTGACGGGAGGAGCAGTGGCGGCGTCTGCGCCCACCACAATGAGGATTACTGATGGCCGCACGGTCAAGACGGAAGCTCATATGGTGAAGAGCCGCGCATTTCATGTATTATTTATTTTATTGTTTATGATTATATTGTTATGATTTTGTATAGGGACCTTTTTGTTCAATGGATTGTCGGCTCATGTTTTTTTATTCGGGGGCTACCCGATCATGTGTATCTCTTGCGCTCAGCAATAAGTTTCGAGATGCTCCGGGGACTTTAGAATCCCTACTGGAGGTGGAGATTGCGGATGATCGTACCGTGAGCGCTGCGAGGATATTTCGGAGTAATTGTCACGCCCCCAAACCGGAACGGCGGAAACGTTCGGGGTGGAGTACGTCATGTACAGTATCACAACAGTTTCATAATAGTAATCAAAGCAAACACAACCATTACATTGATAATATATAGTATTTACATATGTTCAGTACATAGTTTGTATGACATCAAAAATGTATAGCAAAAGTATAAAAGACGCGACTCTAAAAGCTCCGTCTTCTCAAAACCTGCGGGTGTATCTGTCTACCGGTTCCTTGAGAATACAAATGGTTTCGAAAGTGTATCAACATTTGAGTTGGTGAGTTCATAAGTATGTATTTGAGATGGAAAGCTTGTCTTTGTTCTTTGAAAATGTTATAGTGTACTTCTAGAAAATCCAATATTTTCTTTAATGAATGAAGTGTAGTCTTAGACCATAAGACCAAAATGTATGTAGTTACTGTATTCTGAAATAGCGAACTGTACTTTGAGATAGTGAACTGTAGTCTTATTAATAGATAAAACTATGTCATGAATGTTTCTTGAAATTGTATATTCAACTAGTTTACTAGTGTACTCTGTGCTAGAAAAGTAGTGTACTGTAGTAGTGTCTGTAGTAGTGCTCGTAGTAGTGGTTGTATGAAAACCTTATTGTATGAGTGCCTGGAATCCACCAGCTGTAGTGTAAAATAGTGTACTGTAGTTTCATTATTAAAAATAAAACCATTTGTATGAGAGCCTGGAATCCACCAGCTGTAGTGTAAAATAGTGTACTGTAGTTTCATTATTTAAAATAAAACCAATTGAAGTAGTGATAATCCCGTAAACAAATGTTTTAGTTGATATTATTATGAGTTTCATATAACCATGCTTGATATGACCTAGTGGCCTCTACGACGTTCTTCAAGTGTCGGAATGTTATGACATTTGTCACCCCAGGCCTGCCGGCATGGCTGTTGCAAGCAGCTCAGGTGTGGGATTGTCAGTCCCATATAGATCTATACACAAATTCACGCTCTCCCTCCAGGAGACCCTGGTTATAATTTATAGGACTTGAACCGGTACCCTGATAGGTACCCTGAAGTAGTGCCTCACAACCCTGTATTAACTAGTTTACGTGTAGTGTAGTAGTGTTCTCTTGTACTAGAAACTGTATGTATTACCTTGTAGTAGTGTACTTTGTAGTGTAAAATAAATATACTTAAATAATTATTTAGTAGTGTATCCTTGAATTAGTGAAATAGAGTAATGTTCCATAAACTATACATATTATAGTTTAAATGTATGTTCTTGTTCCTGTATAGTGTTCTTTGAGCTTGTGAAATAGTGTAGTGCTTCCCAAACTATACCTATTATAGTTTGAATATATGTTCTTGTATTGTTTATTGAATTTAGCAAAATAGTATAATGATTCATAAACTATACCAACTATAGTTTAAATGTATACCTTGTAATGCACTGAAGAATTTGCAATTTAATAGTATGTATAAAGCGGTAGTAAGAGATTTATGAAAATTACCCTTTTGCTCGACATGCTACAAAAGGGTTAAAAATATATAAAAATATATTTTGGTAAATGCAGTGATAAATTGGGTTGGAACAATTGCAAATGGTTTGAAATGATTTGAAATCGTTTGAATGTTAACACAAGAGTCCTTGTGTTTAACTTGTATCCCCCCCCCCTAAAACATTGAAAAATAGTGAAAACGTAGGGGTATGAACTCACCTCTAGTGCGTGTTAGAGTCTGGATAGCGGAACGGTAGAGATGATCCTCGGGCTAGCGTATGTGGAAATAACGGTATCCTAATAATATTTAAACACGTTCGTATTTAAATTAGCGAGATAATTAATTAAAGTGTTAGACAACACTTAATTTATGTAAGGAATTTCTTACAAAAATTACCGAGAATTGTTTGATGTGTTGATAAGGGTTTTCGGTGTAGCCTTCACCGAAATTCCCTGATTTCGGTCTTAAAACCTCAACCGAGAACCAGGTTCTTGGTCTTAAGGTGTTATTGGTCAGGAACGTGTTCTCGGTCCAAGGTGTTTTCGGTCAGCTTGAAGATTTGAAGATTGTTCTTGGTGTTCTTGGTGAAAATTATGAAGATTTAAAGGATTTTTCTTGAAGATATGAAGGTTCTTGTATGATACTTGAGAGCAAAATGGGAGTGTTTTCGATTGAAAAAGTGAGAAAATGACTTATTTTTCAAGGAAAAATATATATATCAGTTGGATTTTCGGCCGGAAAAGAGATTTCGGTCTAGTGGTTTTCGGTGGGGTTTGCGGTCCGAGGGTTCTCAGCCGAAAAAGGGGTTTTCGGTCCGAGGGTTCTCGTTTCCAAATGTTAAAATCTTGATTTTTAAGTGTATTTTATTTCAAATACTTATATAATAACATCATTTATATAATTTAAATCATATTTAACCCTTATGAACTAAACAAAATCAACAAAACCAATAAAATTCAAGTTTTTATTTAAAGGGGGTTTGACTTTTATTGACTTGAAAAATAATGGGTTGTTACAGTAATGTTCTGAATATGTTCGGCGAGAGGTTTCTTATTGATTTGGTTCCGATTCATTTGAGAGGATTGAAAGTAATCATTGGGATGGATTGGTTGGGACCCAATGGGGCCATGATAGATTGCGAACGCCAGTTGGTGAGAGTTCGAACGCCAAGTGGGGGAGAACTGGTTATCCGTGGAGAGAGAGCCTCACATGGATCAACCCTATGTTCGGCTGCGAGGGCTAGGAGACTCCTTCGGTAGGGTTGTTCTGGGTTTTTGTCTTATGTCTCGGATTAGAGGGTGGAGGCCACGTCACAGATGAGAAGGGTACCTATTGTGCGAGATTTTCCTGATGTATTTCCAGAGGAGTTGCCTGGGGTGCCTCCTGAGAGACAAGTGGAGTTCCGTATTGATTTGATGCCTGGTGCGGCTCCGATAGCCAAGGCGTCGTACCGTCTAGCTCCGCCTGAGATGCAGGAGTTATCTATGCAGCTCCAGAAGCTGCTAGACAGGGGATTTATTCATCCGAGCAGTTCCCGTAGGGAGCATCGATCCTGTTTGTGAAAAAGAAGGATGGGTCGCATAAGATGTGTATTGATTATAGGGAACTGAACAAGCTAACGGTGAAGAACCGTTATCCGCTTCTGAGGATTGATGACTTATTTGATCAGCTTCAGGGTGCATCTTGGTTTTCCAAGATTGATCTTTGGTTGGGGTATCATCAGATGAGAATCAGGGATGAGGATATAACGAAGACGGCGTTCAGAACTCGTTATGGTCATTACGAGTTTGTGGTAATGCCAGTTGGGCTCACCAATGCTCCAGCAACGTTCATGGATCTCATGAACCGGGTTTGCAGGCCGATGCTGGATCTGTCTGTTATCGTTTTCATTGATGATATTTTGGTCTATTCTAAGACCAAGGAACATCACGAGCAGCATTTGAAGGAGGTGTTGGAGACCTTGAGGAGGGAGAGGCTATATGCCAAGTTCTCCAAATATGATTTTTGGTTACGTGAGGTGCAGTTTCTGGGGTACATCATCAACCAAGAGGGTATCTTAGTATATCCGGCCAAGATTTAGCAGGGTACTATCAGAGATTTATTCAGGATTTCTCCAAGATCGTCGTGCCTTTGACCCGCTTGACCAAGAAGAGTGTGAGCTTTCGGTGGGGTCCAGAACAACAATTGGCATTCGATACTTTAAGACAGAGATTATGTGAGGCCCCTATTATGGCGCTACCCGAGGGATTGGATGATTTCGTGGTGTATTGTGATGCTTCTATTTCGGGTTTGGGAGCTGTTCTGATGCAGATGGGGCATGTGATTGCTTACGCCTCGAGGCAGCTGAAGCCTCATGAGGCGAATTACCCCACTCATGACTTGGAATTGAGGGCAGTGGTGTTTGCCCTCAAGATTTGGAGGCATTATTTATATGGGGTCCGATGCACCGTTTTCACCAGTCACAAAAGTTTGAAATATTTGATGGATCAGCAGAATCTGAATATGAGATAGAGGAGATGGTTAGATGTTGATAAAAGATTATCACTGCGAGATTTTGTATCATCCCGGGAAGG